ACCTGAAAACAGCTGAAATAAGCTAAAATGCTTTTAAAAAGTGGTAGCTGAAAATGTAGAAGAAGCTTAAATTAGGAGAAGAAAGCAGAAAAAACATGTTTGCCCAGTTGGGCTGAAAGAAGCAGAAATGAGCACAAAAAAGTGGAAATTCTCTGGAAAAAAATTGAAATTGGCAACAACAACAAAAAATAGCTGAAAAGTAGCTTTAAAAAAAGCAGAAAGAAGCTGAATTTACAATAAGGAAGTGGAGAGAGCACATTTTTGCTCAAGTAGGCTGACAAAAGTTTGAGTGCAAAAAATGTGGAATTAGCTGAAAAAGCTTAAATTAGCATTAAAAACAGCTATGTAGTAGCTGAAATAGTAGAAAAAGCTGAAACTTGCAAAAATAAGCTAAAATAACAAGCTGAAATTAGCAGAAATGTGCTAGTAGAAGCTCAAAAATGTTGTAGTTAGCAGAAAGAATCTGAAAGGAGTATAAAACAGCTGAAAAACAACAGAAAATAGTTGAAAAGTGTTTAAATTTGCACAAGGAAGCTGAAAGTAGCTGAAGCAGAACAAAATGTGAAAGGAGCAGTAAAAGGTTGCAAACAGATCTGAAGATTTGAAGCATGTAAAATGAGCTCAATTCATTTTCTATGAGAAAAAAAAAAAGGCAGAAAAGGCTAAATACTCCAAAAAGCTAAAGTTGCACCAATACCAACAGTCATAGCAGGACTGTCCTGAAAGAGCTGAACATTTTGATTTATGAATTGTTGCAATAGCTTGAAAACTGTGGGATGAGAATCGTGATGAAAAATGTACGGAAGAAAAATGGATCACAATAGTGTGAATGCTTCAAACGCACTCACACAACCAGGTGGTGTCCGCTACAGCAAATCCTTGTGTAACATTCACAAAAATTACGACTCCGCAGTCAGGAACTGTACAAATCAGACAGGTGGTTTCACGTTAATTCACATGTATGCTGGAGACGCGCGCCGTCTTACAGATAAAACGTGGCATCTCTGTTGACACCATATTCTTTGACACTCAAGTTAGCCGCAGAGGAACTACATCTGCTTCCTGGGTGCTCACGTGCATCAACAGACATCAATCCAAGGACTTCCCATGCAGACCCAGACACCGTTAGTCCTGTCGTAAATCACCAAGGAAACAGTTGCCCCCATAGCGTTTCCCCGGCAACCTCATACGTGAGAATCTGGCAGTTTCAGCAGCAGTTTGTACCAAAAAAAAAACTAAATAAATAAATAAACAAAGGTGGCCATCTAGCGGAGTAAAACACTGTGACACAAATAAGGAAGAGAGAGACTGGACTTGTGCCAGCTGAGGGTCTTGGATCATTCCCAGAATCTTGTTTTTCTTCCCCCCTTTCTACTATTCCATCCCACACTCTTCTAACAATCTATTCATCACCACCTCAAGACACTTCTCCCTTCCAGCCTCCTATTCTGCATAATCTACGGCTCTTATTTTTCCTCGTCATTCTAATTAAATTAAAGTGAATATCTAGGCTGATAAGATGTGCTCCGACAGGTGTCTTTGGCCCTAATCACATACGAGTCCGTTATGTGATTGGAAGAGAACGCTGACACAAAAAGGTATTTCCAATGTTAGGAAGTCCAACAACTCCCACTGGAGCTCCCATCGTTTGACAAAAAGTCAGGAGCAACCAGAATTTGGATTTTTGGCTTCTTGTATAAAACGGACAAGGAACGGACCTGACCGACTCCGGCACCCTGGTCACCTGCTGCCTGTTGCCATGGAAAGGATAGTTTTAGTGAAGGGGTGTACATAAAAGGTAAGACGGTCAGAGACGAAGGAAAGAAAAAGCTGACGGGGCTGCTGCAGATCTGTACCTATTGCACAGTTTTTAATCCCCATGGAAACGCTGCTGCGTGGTTATTGTCAACAGCACCTGTCGCTGCATCGCTTCTTCTCGCCGCAGCGCCAGAGAGCTGAGCAGATCAGCTGCGGTGATGTCATCGGGCTTTCTGTAGCCATGTGCTCAGCTCTCACATGGCTACAGAGAGAGAGACTGGAGTTTACAGCTTTACACAGCGAGACGAGTCGAGAGAAAACGAAATCCATCCATCCATTATCTTTTACCTCCTCCTTCCTTTTCCAGGTCAATGGTGCCCATGTGCAGCTATCACTGAGCAAGAGGCGGGGGACACACCCTGGACAGGTCTCCAGTCCATCACAGGGACACATACAGAGACAATTTAGACAAACAACCATTCACTCTCTCACTCACACCTAGAGACAATTCAGAGTTACCAATCAGACTACCATGCATGTTTAAACTGCATCATGATTAAAAAATAAAAATCAAAACTTGGAAAATGCAAGCATGACTCTTATGAGTATTGCTCTAATCATGTGTGCAGTGATGTAAATGTTTTTCAGGTTCTGTGTAGCATTTACTTTGTGAATGTCTCAAATCTAGGCGACCTGTCCGTGTATCCACACAAACGAGTCCTGGAGGCTCAATGGGATTAACCTGTCTAAATAAAGGTTGAATGAATTTAAAATGACAAAAGATGATAAAAATGTGTTAATTTGAACGTTCAAATGATAAACTGTAACATTTCTAACAAGGTTTTAGGCGTTTCACTGTTTTAGCTGTTGCATTGTTTCTGCGTCGTGTTTTAAAACTTGTTATATACGGCCACAGACCCCTTAGAGATCTGCTCCCTGGAGAGCTGTTGCTCCTTGTGATCTTGTTCCTCCATCTCACGACCCAATTTAGCTTTTTTTTTTCACAGACTTTCCATTGCGTACTGCGTTGAACTTCGAATATCAAAGCATCCACTGCACAAAAAGGCGGCGCTGACTGCCTCTCCAGGCTGCTGTTCAGTTCTGAGCAGAGAAATCCTCTTGTTTGCTTCTGTGGACTGATAAAATCACCTATTCAGACTTTACACACACTTTACAGCTGAATATTTGGTGCTGAAGTTAAACAAGACATTAGCCGCTAAACACGCAGGTAAAGTAAAATACTAAATTTTTCCCTAAATGCTTGTCATCTTTTAATATTACAGTAGTCCCTCGCTACTTCGCGGTTTGACTTTCACAGATTCGCTCTATCACAGTTTTCCAAAGTAAGATTGAACATGAGAAAAAATAAATAATAATTTTTTTTTTAAATTGTACAAGACACACAACTGTCAACTTTAATATTACTTGTGTGATTGGGACAGTACAGGAAATTGTACAGTAAAAAGTTAACGAAAAAATTAAATACTTGTGGGCAGGCGCTGCCATTTTGTAGTTTTCTCTCGATAAGCCTACACTGTATCCCCGCTCATAATGACTACATTTCCCAGAACCCAACAGTGTCCCGCCCAGAAGCCCCGTTTCCTTCTGCTGAAATACTAGAGGGAAAGTTTTGATCTGATCGGAAAAAGTCTTGCGCTTATTACGGTGACTTCGGCACCAAGAGGTTGCAGAGAGCCGCACGGAACTCACCGAACTGGAGCAGAACTAGACCTCCAGACCCATCGACGAATCTAGGGGACTGGTAGCCAGCCTACAACAACTTCCAAGTGGGACGCGTGCCGCCGAAGGTCCAGCACTCCATCCGGAGCTCACCGGAACTTTTTTCACCTCTTTCAACCGGCCCACGAGGACCTCTGAGTGGGGACGCACTGGAGAGTAAAGTTTAGTAGCTACATATAAGTATATTGTTAAAATTAGTAGGTTTAAGAGTTTAGAACATTGATTGTGCGCTTTGTTGCTGCAGGGTAGGTCTGCAGAAACGGAACAGAGTCGGACCGGAACCAAGTGGAATCGAGAGCTGTTGCTGTTCTGCAGGTCTGATAAGTAAAATTTAGTAGCTACACATACTATACGTATGTTGTTAAAATTATGAAGATTTAAGAGTTTAGAACATTGCAAGAGTGTGGGAAGAGTTTATAAAGACTTAAAATATATATATATATATAAATACTAAAATAAATATAACATCCATACTTCGCACATTTTCACTTATTGCAGGGGGTTTGGAACCGAACCCCCGCAATAATCAAGGGACTACTGTAATCTCTTCTGGAGTCGTGTCAATTCCTACGTCACACTGTAGGTAGAGTTGCATTTGGGCCTAAAAAAAATCCAGCCCAGCCCAAACCAGTATCATTTTTTCCGACCCCGACCCGAAACCGATTGATTAACTGATTGATTACAGGCCTGAACCTGAAAAAAACCCTTAACATTATTTTTATTAAGCTTTTATTGCTTTTGTAAGAAAATCAGTTTGAAATATTTTAAAAACGTATTTTAGAAAAAGGATTTCTTGTTTCACCAAATGGACATTAACACACAAAACAAGCAGCCCACAAAATCTACTCTAACGATAGGCTGTTGTACAGATGAACAAAAATATTTTTAGAGCAAAATTATTTGGAAAAATATAAAACAAGGCTATTCTAAATGAACGTGCTGCTCGCTTCAGCTTTTGTAGATGCTGCTACTTCCTTCACCACAGATGACAGCAGGTGCGAAGACGCGCGCGGCCGGTGATCAGCTGATCCATCTGAGCTTAACTGGACATTTTTTTTAATCTCTTTCAACCAACCGGTCGGACCTGCCTCCTCCTCAACAAGTAGATTAACACAATTTTATATTGTGAATTCTTATTTTCTTCTCTTTGTGCTGTATGATTCGTAAAACCGTATCAAAGCCCGAGACCGGCCTGGCCCGCACATTAAGCACATTATTATGGCCTGGCGGGCCCCGGTTAGAAATGACAGCTCTAACTGTAGGTAATAAACAACTACAAGATTAATCAGCTTCGTGTTCTCACGAACACGTTAAGACAGATTCGTCTCCATTTGTGTGATAGAAAAACCCCGGTCACGTCACGCCAACCAACACTAAACGGTTCAAAGACCAACGAAGCGCATGTTGTGTAGCAGTTACACAGAACAAGAAGGGAGCCTTTTCATAAAGTGCAAACCCCACAGTGGGCAGGAACCCCGAAACATTACGGAAACTCTCCGTACCTGTATGTAACGCAGCGCACTGCGTAAAACGCTGAGGTTGGAGGTTTTCTTCTCATCAACGTTTGGAATGTTCTTCTTTAGTGTTTCGAAACATTCTTTGAGATGTGCTCTCCTGAAAAGTTCAGAAATACAAAAACGCCATGAATATGCCTGCGAACATTCATTCAGTATTATCCTGAGGATTGAAATGTGGCGTTTTGTTTTGTTTGGGGTGAATTTCACAGCTCCCTGTTACTTGAAGAAAACCTACTGGCGTATGAAACTCTTCAAGAGCGAGTCTCACAAACACAAAGAGGAGAAGAGTTCATCGTGACTAACCTGTTCTTTTCCAGTTTATTGTGCACTTCTCTGGTCCCCGCACTGAAAATATAGATATATAAGAGATGATCAAATGCAACAAGTAATAAATCTACTATACTTTTTATTTCTTATCATTTTAGATTTTTTTTTAAATAAAATATTTATCATTTACAACATAAGTTAGAAAATGCATGCTGCATGTTAAGTTACAATTCAAACCCTCCTTCCTAAAAAACCCGAATAAAAGAAAAACAACTGTTCTCGTACAAAAATATAATATCTACTGTATTCATTTCATAGGATTATATTGAAATTTCATCAATGGTATACTCTATTATGACATCCCAGATGTGTGTGTGGTTTTTTTTAAACCTCTGGTTTGCCTTTGACACGATCTTTCCGGATGGACGATATAATTAATTTCACCAGAGTTTCTGCGTCGGGGGTTCTGAGTTTTTCCAGAACATCAGAATGCTTTTTTTTTTTTTTTTTTTTTGCTGTTGCCATTGCAAGAAGAGCTTCAAAGCAACACTTGGGTCACTCATGGTTTGTTTCTGGAATGACCACATAAATTTTGATATCAGGGCATCAATTGTAGTAAAGCGAGCGACTGGACACTTTACTGGGAGAACCTGACAAAAGAAACTTTGGGAGCTCACACATCTTAACTAGATTAACTCCACTGATACGGGCAGGTCCTTCCATTTATCATCCGAGTTAAATCATTGCACATATTATTTATATATTCATTAGGACTCCATTTAAAACATGTCACGTGAGGTATTTGAGTCACAACCTGAGGCAAAATTTTACTTTTTCCATAAATCATTTTATACCTTGATAATTTACTATACTCTTCTAAAAGCAACATTAGGTAAGTGATTGAGTTTTTTGGGTTGGACATGTATATTAATAAATCATCAGCATAAAACAATGTCTTAAAGTCTTGCTTGTCAATTTGGATTCCTTTAATATGTTGACTGAGGCGTAAGGCAGCGGTCAATGGTTCTATAGCTGTGTCAAATATGAGTTGTGTTAAGAGGTGGTACAAATTACTATTTTCAAAACACACTGACCCGCCTGGTCTCCTCTTCCCCTCCATCCCCCTCATGTCCTCTATCATCACTCCATTAGGTTGTGGCTGAGACATCGGTGGAGTTTGATGGGGTACCAGTGCATGATGAGAGCCTGAGCTATTTGCACTGATGGATGCTGGGTACTGAATCTGAACCTGAGGCTGCGACAGGCTGGGCTTGACATCGATCAGCTGCTGAGTGGGCTCTACTTTGATCTGTGGAGAGGTCATCAAATGAGGAGATGCTGTCTGCGGCTGAGATGGGGAGGAAACGTTCTCTTTCTTAAGAGGCGGGGGACTGTTGAGCGACGTTGCCGCCGCAGCAATCGGCGTTGAAAGTGGAAGCGGTGGTGGGACAGACGGCGTCGCATTGACAACTGGAACCATGGGGATGACAGCAAAGGGCACTTGAGGAGGTGGGAGAGAAGGTGGTGGGTGGGAAGGAGGGTGATGAGGCTGCTGACAGTGAGCATCTTCACCCCAGGCGATATGGTTGGCTCTGACTGGCTGGGACGAAGTCACAACTTCCACACGCCTGGACTCGACCTCCCTGTTGATGAGCTCCTTCTCTTTGCACTGATCATCATCTGAAAAAGAAAGACAGAAAAAAATCAGTGAGGACATATACGAAGTAAAACACCAAATACCACAAAAATGACAGAAAAGACCGACGTAAAAAGCAAAAGAAAGGCTCATAAAGTTGACAACTGGTCTCTGTTCACATGTAAGAAAACACACGATTGACCCAAAAACTCACTTTTTGCATCAAAATGATCATAATACTAATTTTTTTAAAGTTGCACTTCCTGAATATATATTTTTTTCCGTTCAACCTTTATTTAAACAGATAAGTCACATTGAGCCTCAAAGACTCATTTACAAGTGAGACCTGTTTGGATAGACAATAAAAAGAAGTGAAAAATGACACACAGGGTTTGGAGACCAAAAAAAATCCTAACACGTTCTTAATCTTTGGTTGAAGGTTAACAACATGATAATGAAAAAAAATATATTGCAATTTTGAAATATATTGTAACTTACCAATATATTGTGTATGTATATATATGTGTATATATACATACACACATATATGACCTGTTAGCACTCTGAGTATGTGTTTGGAGTGACGCTCAGCTACAACGTCAAATTTGACCTCGGTATCTCAAGAAATGACAGCGTTAAAGCCATTTTTGCATTTTCAAGGTCAGTTAGCGAGATATGTTAAAGTTATCATGACATTTCAGTTTTAGTAATGCCTTTGAAACATTTGATTTCTGAAGAACTTTCAAGTGAGAAGCACAATGCTAATTGCGTTTGCTTTTTCTACAACCTTTTCAATGTCGAGTTGGTTTCTATGCAAATCGTTGATCAGAAGCTGTTAACAGTTTTTGACATGTTTATTAGGCATGAATATATATATATATAATCTTGTGTTCATTTGTGTAAAATAAGTCACTGTCGTTTTAATTAGCAAATGTACATTTCTGTATGCTGTATTTCAGTTTTTACAGTGTTTTGAATGAGCATCCAAAGCTCGAGTTTATTTGCAAATCGGATATTTGCAGAGAAATGCATCGACGCAGCTGTCTGAATCGCAGTCAAATCACGAGGTGACAAAATATCCACACCCCTTCGTGTCCACGGGCGATAACACCAACCAATGACACAAAACAATTTGAGATAATCTCTGTCGTCTCAAGGTTATGTCACCTCGTTTGTTCAGTAAGCATCTATGATTTAAAAGAACATAAATACACAAAAATGATGTCACGGGTGGGGGGAACAGCAACACAAACTGTGCCTGACTGGAATCGACATCCCTCTCCCAACCTCGTGCTTGGACTGTGCACGTCTTTAGGACTGACGTGAGACACCACTCAGCTGGGTCAACGCGTCTTGGCTCTGTGACAACCCATAAATGTGCCGCACGGTTGAAAACGAAACCAGCGATACCTGTGGTAAAAGCTCGAGCACACAGATAACGACGTGAATGAGGAGTTATCGCACACCCTTCGCCTGCAGACTCAAAGTGATGCAGAAAAGCCCTCGGTTGCCATGGAAACAGCAGCATTTGACACAGAAGATCCCAGGGATTCCTCAAACCTTCCGGACGCCGACACACAACTCGACACAGCACACTCCAAGGAGCCTGGCTGCTTTCGTTTCTACTTTGCATGACACTGCAAACCCCCGATGGCGCAATTTCCTTTCACCAAGGGCAAGAGTTCAGCCCCGAGAGGCCTTGCACTGTTAAGATACCGTCGTCATGGATGATACGCAGAAAAACAAACTTTCCTCTCTGCACGCTCTGTCCTCGCTAATCTTTTTCTAATTTGTGTGATATGCACCTCAGCAGATGTAGCTGTGTTCATCGTGAATTACAGTGTAATTATGTCTCCAACCAGTGTTTAAATGTAGTCTGGTGCTTTCTTTGGCAATTAAAAAAAAAAACAACTCCCTCCTTGTGAGAACATTTTGTTTGATAAAACTTTTTGGCCAAACCTGGAAAATGACGCTGCAGAAAAATCTCTAGTGACATCTCGGTTAGCATCTAGAAGATGTGTTGAGGACGACTCTCATCTATGACTATAATAGAATTTAGCTCAATATCTGCAAAGTGGACTGAGTTATAGCCATCTTTGTATTTGCTAAGATCGATTAGCTGCGGCAACCATCTTGAATCGGACTGATCTCAAAAGATAATCAGTTGTAGATGTATATTTAGTGATTACTTTCGGGGAATTTCATTAAAATCCATCCAGTGGTTCATGAGATATTTTGCCAACAGGCAGAGTTGAACGCAATGGTTAAAGTTGGGATTTTATAAACTGATTTCACGCCATTTACTGGTTCTTTGATGATGTGTCGGGCAAAACTATGCTGCTACTATCAAACCAAACTGTACACCAATATATTTGAATTTTACTCTGGTACAGCCATTTTGTCTTTGCTAAGGTTGATCCTTTTCTGAAAGTTTCAATAAATATTAGTTCATTAGACGTTTTGCTAACAGTCAGGACACAAACAAAAACAATACCACAATTGAATAAAAAATGTGCCTACCAAGGCAAAATAATTACTTTTTATTTATTTATTCATTCTTTTTTTTTTAAGAAACAAAACAAATTCATCAAAAAGAACACTGAATGAAACGGGTGCAGAAAGACGAAGAAAATTCTTATATCGGCCCCTTTTTTAAAAGAATATATATAATAACTAGAAAACAACAACTCAGGCTTGAACAATCGCCAAATTTAAAACGAAAAACATTAAGCGTTCTTCACGGTATCACATTTGCAGAACAATTTTAACTTAATCATCTTTTTAAACATATAAATTGTTTTAGAATTTTTTATGATGATATCAAGGCAAATCCACAATCCTGAACTACAACACAACTCCTTCACACTCGTTCTAAATGGAGGTTTTACAAACATTTCCATTCCCTTCAGGTTATAATGACTCTCTTTTTTAACACATGTTAACTGAATATTTGGGGGTAATATTTTTTATTAGCTTTATACATGACTTATAAAATACTATATTCAACCACTCATAAAATTTTAATAATTTCAATAGATTAAATAATATATTTGTTGGGTGACCATAGCACTTCCTATTAATAATTCTTATAGCTCTTTTTGGTAAAATAAAAATAGGATTTGTAATTGTTTTGCATGCTTTTCCCCAAACTTCAATACAATAGATTAAATATGGAACAATCATTACATTGTACAATATGTACAAAGCTTTGTCATTCAAAAACTTGTTTACTTTATACAGCATTACAACTGATTTTGCTATTTTTATTCTTAAGTAATTTACATCGACTCCTGTAATGAATGACAAGGTGGTAAAACACATGAACGTTTATATATATATATATATATATATATATATATATATATATATATATAT